CAATTTTAAACCCTAAACCTCAGTGTATTGATATATTGATCCCTACTGGTTTGGAGGTACACAATGTAATTGAAAGTTTGCATTTCTATGGTTGGTTGTTTGCTAGCTACCATATTCAATATGTATAAAAAAAGAAGATGTGGTGTGATTACGAATGAGACAACTATTCACAAGAGACCAAATGACACAGAAATTAACAACTATAGGTCACCGTACAGCCTTCAACAATGAGCAAAGCCCATACCGCATAGTCAGCTATAAAAGGCCCCAAAAGGACAAATGTAAAACAATTCAAAGAAGAAAACTTACGGTCTAATTAATCTACAAAAAAATCCCATTTATAGTTATATTTTTCATTTTACATATATATATACATGTATTATAATATCATGAATATCTGGGGTTGTAAAAGGTGTATCTAATAAATAAGGTAGAATTCATGAAAGACCCCCTCCTAAATTATAGATAATTTAACATAAAGCAATATATATCTTGGGGTGTAAATTAGATACACCTTCTCAGGTTGTCACCCTTGTGGTGTATCTAATACAGAGGTTTCCAAATTCCAACAGATTTTACTAGCATAAACAGATTTTGTCAAACATCTGGACATTTTTACCGTGAAGAATAACAATTAATCAAGCTGATATACTACAGGCTTGTACATTGTAGGTCAAAGATTTATCTGATAATTGTAGTATTACATATCAATTTCCTGAAATTATGATTCACTGATTAGAACTTTATCATTTTCAAGTTTTTTACAGTTTATAACCCAAAACAATATTAATTAATAACATATTTTTCTTATATTACAATGTATATTAATTATGAGTTATTTCAAAGATTTTTTAATGATCACAGAGATGACTTAAAGAAGTGATATTTTTACTACATTGTACCCTTTAATATGCTAAGCCAAGACCAGTAGCAGGAAATATTTACCTGATACAATTAGGTTTTATTATATAGGGATGCACTTAAGCATGATTAGAGCAGGGCCCCTATGGCATGCAGTGAGCCCTTATAAAAACAACTGGATCTTTGTATTACAACTATTAATATCAATTCTTCATTGTATTTATAAATTATGTCTATGTTTTTAAAGAAAGATGTATATAAAGTATTAAGGAAATATAGATTCTTTCATTGTTAGCAGTGGATTATCGTGTTTCTCCAATAGAAATAGTTAAATATGGAATTTTAAGTCCGAGCCTCTGCAAGGATTTAAAATTCAATAATTTAACTATCAAGATTGGAGAAACACGATAATCCACTGCTAACAATGTAAGAATCTGTTTCTCTAATGTCCAAAAAATGCTATTATAATTTCAATAGAAAGTAAATTCTCCCAACCATGCCTTTACTATGTCGTCAGATAGTTTAAAAAAAACAAATGCTGAAATGTACACCACTGAGCCAAAAATAGCCGGGTTTGATCATGACTTTGGTAACATGTTTTCCGATTCAATTTTATTCAAACGTGTTTATAGTTGATTCACATTAGAAGAAAACCCTTTTTTGCGGATTTTTGAAAACATTTTGTTTCTTTGAATGACAATTTCTAATGTACTTTCCATATACTAATAAAGTCTTTTTAGGTTATCCCATATTTGTAGCTTTTAAAGTTTAGAGTCTTGTTAAGATAATGTGTGATAACAATAATATTTTCGTCCGTCTGTCTGTCCCGTGTCAGGTTAAATTTTTTGGTCAAGGTAGTTTTTGATGAAGTTGAGGTCCAATCAACTTGAAACTTAGTATACATGTTCCCTATGATATGATATTTCTAATTTTAATGCCAAATTAGAGTTTTGAACCCCATTTCACAGTCCACTGAACAATATGATAGTGCAAGTGGGCATCGGTGTACTATGGACACATTCTTGTTTCATCATGCTTGAAGATATTGACTTCATATTTGGCATTTAGTTTAACCATGACAAGTTACAGATCAAGTTTAAATTTTGTTCCCGTCGAATGATTCTTTGCCGTTATGGTCCTTGGACTTTTTGGTTTATACGTTAACCATGACAAGTTACAGATTTTTCATCACACTTAAAGATATTATATTGATATTTGGTTTTATAGGTTACCGATGTCTGACAAGTTTCAGATCAAGTTTAAATTTTGTTCTGGTTTGATGATATTTTGCAGATTTATGATCCCTAGACCTTGAAAAATCACACAAGTAATCAATTTTCTCCTTTTTAGCTCACCGGGGCCGGAAGGACCTCATGTGAGCTTATGCCATCACTTGGCGTCTGTCGTCGTCGTCTCTCGTCGTAAACTATTTCAAAAATCTTCTCCTCTGAAACTACTGGGCCAAATACCTTCAAACGAAATGTTCCTTAGGGTATATAGTTTATAAATTGTATCTGAAGTTTTGATCCATCGACAAATATGGCCGCCATGGCTAAAAATAGAACATAGGGGTCAAATACAGTTTTTGGCTTATATCTCAAAAACTAAAGCTTTTAGAGCAAATCTGATGTGGGGTAAAATTGTCCAATTGGTCAAGATCTATCAGCTCTGATATTTTCAGATGAATCGAACAACCAATTGTTGGGTTGCTGCCACCGAATTGGTAGTTTTAACAAAATTTTGCCGTTTTTTGTTATTATTTTGAATATTATAGATATACATATAAACTGTAAGCAGCAATAATGTTCAGCAAAGTAAGATCTACAAAAAATTAATATGACCATAATTGTCAATTGACCCCTTAAGGAGTTATTGCCCTTTAAAGACAATTTTACACAATTTGTTCATCAAGTTTGCTAACATTTAAAAATATTCTCCTCTGAAACTACTGGGCCAAATTCCTTCAAACTTTAACTAAATGTTCCTTAGGGTATCTTGTTTATAAATTATATCCGAAGTTTGTATCCATCGACAAACGTGGCCGCCATGGCTAAAAATAGAACATAAGGGTCAAATGCAGTTTTTGGCTTATATCTCAAAAACTAAATTTTTTAGAGCAAATGTGACAAGGGGTAAAATTGTTTAATTGGTCAAGATCTATCGGCCCTGAAATTATCAGACGAATCGAACAACCCATTGTTGGGTTGCTGCCACTTAATTGGTAGTTTTAACAAAATTTTGCAGTTTTTTGTTATTATTTTGAATATTATTATAGATATATATAAACTGTAAGCAGCAATAATGTTCAGCAAAGTAAGATCTACAAAAAAGTTAATATGACCAAAATTGTCAATTGAACCCTTAAGGAGTTATTGCCCTTTAAAGACAATTTTACACAATTTGTTCATCAAGTTTGCAAACATTTAAAAATCATCTCCTCTGAAATGCAGGTGAGCGATTCAGGCTCTTGAGAGCCTCTTGTTTATACGCCCGTTTACGGGACGTAATATGGTATACCGTTGTCTCTCTGTCCGTCCGTCGTCAGCATGTCGGACATTAACTCAAAAACGCTTTAACCAATTTGCATAAAACTTGACGTGAGCTCCCTTTCGCTTTTTATAAATTTTAGATTTTAAGTTTCCGAGTTATGGGGTTTTATTCATTAAAAAAAGTGGGATTTTCCAGTTTTCGGACAATAACTCAAGAATGCTTTCACCAACTTGCACGAAATTGTGGTGAATTGTTTATATCTATTGACATGAGCTCCCTTTGGATTTTTATATATTTTAGATTTTACGTTTCCGAGTTACAGGGTTTTATTCATAAAAAAAGGGGGATTTTCCAGTTTTCCGACAAACATCAAAAATGCTTTCAGCAGTTCTTATGAAACTTTGGTGAATTGTTTATATCTTAATCTATTGATGTAAGCTCTGTTTAGAATTTTATAAATTTTTCATTTATCTTTTCTGAGTTATGGGGTTTTATTGATTAAAAAAGGGGGGATTTTCCAGTTTTCGGACAATAACTTCAGCAGTTCTTATGAAACTTTGGTGAATTTTTTATATCTATTGATGTGAGCTCCGTTTAGAATTTTATAAATTTTTCATTTATCATTTCTGAGTTATGGGGTTTTATTCATTAAAAAAGGGGGGATTTTCCATTTTACGGACAATAACTCAGAAATGCTGTCGGCAATTCTCATGAAACTTTGGTGAATTGTTTATATCTATTGCTGTAAGCTCCCTTTACATTTTCATAAATTTCTAATATGACATTGAGAATTAATTAAACTTTAGTTGTTTATAGTCTGACAACAGATTTACTAAGTATTGCGCAACAGCACAGTGTATTGCACAACAACAAGAAATCTTTAATTGGATATAAATTCAATTCATATAACCAATTTCAAGTTCTTTGACTACATTTTTTCAGAAACCTATAATATGTCAAATATTTAATTACAATCCAAATTCAGACCTGTATCAAGCTTGAGTATTGTGTCCATTTTTGCCCCAACTGTTCATGGTTGGAACTCTGCGGGCGTATCCAGCTGCGCTCAACGAAGCAGTTAAATATTTGTCATGATTGACTATATTGATTTGATATTTAATATATATATTTTTAACATGACAAGTAAGTTGAAGTAACAGATCAAGTTCAAATTTTGTTTTCAGGAACAATCAATTTTAACTGGTAGGAGACTATGTATAATTGCCATGCAATACTATCATAATGCTGGATACTATTCATGCTGGTCTGTGTCCACACTTTTTTAACTGAATTCAAGAAAATGTTCACTTGTTTAAGTCATTTAATGTTTACTGGTTTATATCTCAAATTGATCACTTATTTGAGTGATTTTAAAAATTCTGTCACTTATCTTTAAAACATTCGAAATTTTTCATTAGGTGTTCCTGAATTGACTGTGAAACCCTAAACACATACTTGTTTTGTTACATACTTTTTTTTCAATAACTTGTTTAATTTCAAGACCTATAAACCTATAATCAGATCGTGATGATACAAAGTGTTTCAACAAGCTTTGTCTTTTAATATTCATATTGTACTGGAATAATAAGGTAACTTTTACAATGTAATGTTTATCAAGTTTATTGTTTTTTCTCTTTTTTATGTTTTAGACAAATTTGAAGACCAACTTAGAATGCAATTTATGTGAAAGAAATGGAGGATAAAGGTATGCCTTAAATTTTAAACCAAATAATATCAACATTAAAATTGGTGGCTTGCAGTTTGTACCCTAGACTGCATAATAATAAAGGGGCATTCTGTTGACAAGGTATTAATTTTGACATTAAACTGAAGCTTAGAATTTAAGTTAATTTTCATGATTATGATGTCAACTTCAAAATTGTATATCAGATTGCACTTTTGACAGATTTAACAGTCCCCTGGACAAATTTATATTGTACATGTGTTGTATGAAGACATTTTGTATTAAAGACACATACTTAAAATCCTAAGAGCTAAATTAAGACATTTTGTTTGATGAGAACTCAGTGGCTGAGTATTCACAGCTATTGTATCTCAAGCCTGTCATCACTAAGGTTTTGAGTTAAAACCCTTGCATGTGGCAGTTGTGGTTTGAATTTAATCATAATTCTCAAGAATTGTTTGTCTTTTTTTCTGATCGGTGATTCCCTCAGGGCATAACAGATTCACTAGGTCTCATACTTGATAGCCAAAAATGCTTAAAGTGGTGTTATCGCCAATCGTTAATTAATAAGTTAATAAATTGTGAATGGGTATTTCATTGTAGGTAATTCTGGTCTATGTTCAGATGTAGAAGGGAAAATTTCTTGTGATCCTATACATACCTTAGAAGCCCAATGTTCTTATAATGAAAGAATGGCTATTATCTATGATCCCTTGCATACCCAAGATTACAAGGCATTTGTAGATTATGTGGAAAAGAATTGAAAAATGTTCAGACCTACCCTAAACATTTATTTAAGGAAGATATTCTAAAGTCTAAAAGTATTTGTGTTGATGAAGTCGTCTCCCAAAAAATACCTGTTTAGGTAATTAAAGTATAAAACTTGTTGAGGTAACCACTGGCTGATTAAAATGTTGACTTCATCCTGTTCATAGTTAACATCAAATAATTAACAAGTATTTAACAATATTTGTACGGTGAAGGAAAATAAAGAATTTATCAAATGACTACATTTTGAAGGAAAGTGGAGTAATTGCATATATTTAATTTTAGACCACATGACAATGATGACAAAGAAGATGAAGAGCAGCATCCTTTAAATGAATCAGGGTAAGTCGTGATACTTAAATGCAATTAATAAATATCTGGTATTGGGGAAATGATTTAAACCTTTTAAGAAAGAAGCACATTTAAAAATTACCTGTTTAGGTAATTAGAAAAATATATAACTTGTTTAGGTAACCCTTGGCTGATGAAAAATGTTGACTTGATCATGTGTTGATTAGGTCCTCGTAGTAAATTTTATTATGAGAGTTTCAGTCAAATCGGTGAACATACATTTGACAGCTAGTGCCCCAGTTTAAACATATTTTATTTGTTTAATATACAAAAGGGATGCGACCCAAGTTAAAACAAACTTATGAAGTCGTCTCCCAAAAAATACCTGTTTAGGTAATTAAAAAAAATATAACTTGTGTAGGTAATCACTGGCTGATTAAAATGTTGACTTCATCCTGCTCATAGTTAACATCAAATAATTTACAAGTACTTAACAATATTTGTACAGTGAAGGAAAATAAAGAATTTAATATTTATTAAATGACTACATTTTGAAGGAAAGTGGAGTAATTGCATATATTTAATTTTAGACCACATGACAATGATGACAAAGAAGATGAAGAGCAGCATCCTTTAAATGAATCAGGGTAAGTCATGATACTTTAATGCAATTGATAAATATCTGGTATTGGGAAATGATTTAAACCTTTTAAGAAAGAAGCACATTTAAAAATTACCTGTTTAGGTAATTAGAAAAACATATAACTTGTTTAGGTAACCCTTGGCTGATTAAAATGTTGACTTGATCATGTGTTGATCGAGATCCTCGTAGTAAATTTTATTATGAGAGTTTCAGTCAAATCGGTGAACATACATTTGACAACTAGTGCACCAGTTTAAACATATTTTATTTGTTTAATATACAAAAGGGATGCGACCCAAGTTAAGACAAACTTATGAAGTCGTCTCCCAAAAAATACCTGTTTAGGTAATTAAAGTATAAAACTTGTTTAGGTAACCACTGGCTGATTAAAATGTTGACTTCATCCTGTTCATAGTTAACATCAAATAATTAACAAGTACTTAACAATATTTTTACGGTGAAGGAAAATAAAGAATTTATTAAATGACTACATTTTGAAGGAAAGTGGAGTAATTGCATATATTTAATTTTAGACCACATGACAATGATGACAAAGAAGATGAAGAGCAGCATCCTTTAAATGAATCAGGGTAAGTCGTGATACTTAAATGCAATTAATAAATATCTGGTATTGGGGAAATGATTTAAACCTTTTAAGAAAGAAGCACATTTAAAAATTACTTGTTTAGGTAATTAGAAAAATATATAACTTGTTTAGGTAACCCTTGGCTGATTAAAATGTTGACTTGATCATGTGTTGATCGAGGTCCTCGTAGTAAATTTTATTATGAGAGTTTCAGTCAAATCGGTGAACATACATTTGACAGCTAGTGCCCCAGTTTAAACATATTTTATTTGTTTAATATACAAAAGGGATGCGTCCCAAGTTAAAACAAACTTATGAAGTCGTCTCCCAAAAAATACCTGTTTAGGTAATTAAAATAAAATATAACTTGTTTGGGTAACCACTGGCTGATAAAAATATTGACTTCATCATGCCCATAGTTAACATCAAATAATTAACAAGTACTTAACAATATTTGTACGGTGAAGGAAAATAAAGAATTTAATATTTATTAAATGACTACATTTTGAAGGAAAGTGGAGTAATTGCATATATTTAATTTTAGACCACATGACACTGATGACAAAGAAGATGAAGAGCAGCATCCTTTAAATGAATCGGGGTAAGTCGTGATACTTAAATGCAATTAACAAATATCTGGTATTGGGGAAATGATTTAAACCTTTTAAGAAAGAAGCACATTGATGTGTAGATTGATTAAAGGTTGTCTTCAAAACAATGGTTACTTTATTTATGTTTTAGAAGAATGTAAAGACTCTTCTTTTTTAAAATTTATCACTGTTGCTGTAACCTTTGTTTCAATTGAAATTTAATATTATTCTCTTGAGAGTAACTTTTCTTAAAAATTACCTGTTTAGGTAATTTAAAAAATATATAACTTGTTTAGGTAACCACTGGCTGATTAAATGCAATTAATCAAATCAATATCAATTAATCAGTATCTGGTATTGAAAGATGAAAGATCAATCTTTAAATAAATCTGATTGACAAGAAGAAGAGCATTTCTTAAAAAGTAACTTTTAAAATTACCTATATAAGTTATGTTAAAAATGGGCTTAGAATGTAACTTATATCAGTTATTATTCTTATTATCCTTTGTTTGTATCTTACAATTTACACATAAAAGTTGATATTGTTCATTTAATAAAAGTTGAAACGGCATACATATATATTAAATGTGGAACCCAGATTGAACTGAGATTTAACATAACAGCTTGCAGCAGAAAACTGATACCAGTATATGTTCAATGCTTCTGTTATCTGTTCACCTTTATTTATATAGTAGAAATGTTGCTGGCAGGATAAAATGCTTTTAGTACAATACTACATGTTAATACTTATTTTTTGAAGACCAGAATGTCAAAAGAAACTATTTGAAGATGAGGACATGGTTATAGATGATAGGTTTGTAAATCAATAAAACAGTAATGACCATTTTTGTCGAGCCTTCGACTTTTGTCGAAAAAGCGAGACATAGCGATCCTACATTCCGTCGGCGTCGTCGTCGTCGGCGGTGTCCACAAATATTCACTCTGTGGTTAAAGTTTTTGAAATTTTAATAACTTTCTTAAACTATCCTGGATTTCTACCAAACTTGGAAAGAAGCTTGTTTATGATCATAAAATAGTATCCAGAAGTAAATTTTGTAAAAAAAAATTCCATTTTTTTCGTATTTTACTTATAAATGGACTTAGTTTTTCTGCCAGGAAACATAACTTTCACTCTGTGGTTAAAGTTTTTGAAATTTTAATAACTTTCTTAAACTATCCTGGATTTCTACCAAACTTGGAAAGAAGCTTGTTTATGATCATAAGATAGTATCCAGAAGTAAATTTTGTACAAAAAAAATCTGTTTTTTTTCGTATTTTACTTATAAATGAACTTAGTTTTTCTGCTAGTTAACAATACATTCACTCCGTGGTTAAAGTTTTTAAAATTTTAACAACTTTCTTAAACTATCCTGGATTTGTACCAAACTTGGACAGAAGCTTGTTTATGATTAAAAGCTAGTATCTAGAAGGAAATTTTGTTAAAATTTTGTTCCATTTTTTCTGTATTTTACTTATAAATGGATTTAAATTTTCTGCCAGTTAACATTACATACAGTCTGCAGTTTTAAGTTTTTAAAACATTTATTAGATTCATAAACTATCCTGGATTTTTACCAAACTTGGACAGAAGCTACTTACAATCAAAAGATAGTATAGAGAGGAACATTTTTATTATTTTTTTTCCTCATTTTTGCTGAGCCTGCGATTAACAGCAAAAGTAGGCGAGACACTGGGTTCCGCGGTACCCTCACAATTTTTTTTAATATAGCGGTTGTCTTTGTTATCTTAATCCAAATTTTCATATATTATTTTTCCTTAAATCAGGCTGTTTATTTTCTTGCTTGAATTGATTTTTAGCTCTTGCCATTACTTGGCGTTTTTGTCATGGTCCGTCATCTGGTGTAAACTATTTCAAAGATCTTCTCTTCTGAAACAACTGAACCTATTCAAACCAAACTTAAGCTGAAGGATCTAGAGGGTATCTTTAATAAAGTTTGTTTTATTTTCTGTTAAGTCTAAACTATGGCCACCATGGCAAAGATGTAAAATGCAGTTTTAGGCTTATATCTCAAAAGCTGCTAAAAATAAAGACCATGGCATGTATGGCTAAAATAGAACATAGATGAAAATATGACAGACACATGTACAAAGAACACTTAAATGGCATTTGTAAGTATATTTATATGCATTGAAAAGCAAAAATAATCATTGATGAAAGATTTAAGCAAAAACCTTCAGGCGAGAGATTCAGCATGTTCAGGCTCTTGAGAGCATTTTGTTTTTATAAAGTTTACAAAATTATTGAGTTTATTTTTTTTTTTTAGTTTTCATGGCAGTTATGGTTATAATAGTGAAGATGAGATGAGTCCACTTTACCCTCTGGATAGTTCCTTGTTGAGGTAAAATAATAGAATTATTTTATTGATCATATGTTAATAAATTTTCTGTTCACTTGAGAATGTTGTGCAAACATAGTTGACATTGAATTATCAACCTATTATATATATTTATTTTATTGTTGTTTCACTGTTTTCAATATTGCAATTGTTCGAATTTAACTGTTCCTGTTTATTACAGGCTTCAGCATAAGGAAAAGAGCTTTAATATCAAGAATGTGTTTTTGAACGTTTTATTTACCAAATGAAGAATGTCTTGCATTGTCTTAAGAGTTAACATTTCATTCTTTCTAGCTGTCATACATTTTCCAATTTAAATTGATACAATATTTGTCAGAGTTACCAGGCATTTAAATTTTGCTACACCTGATGTGTGTTTTGTCTATACAAGACTCATCAGTGATGCTCAAATCAAAATAATTGTAAGGCTAAATAAAAGCATTGAGGACCAAAAATTCAATAAGTTGTGCCAAAAACGGCTAAGGTAACCTGTGCCTTGAGGTAGAAAATCTTTAGTATTTATAATAATTCTATGTTTTTCATACAGTAAATTTATAAAAAAAAAAAAAAAAAACATCATTGATATTTCATGCCAACACCAAAGTGTTGACTACTGGGCTGGTGATACCCTCAGAGCTGAAAACATTTCAAGCAACCCCATGTAATAAATTTGGCATTTCTATATTTTATAAAACATGTTAATATTAGGTTATTTTATTGTTGAATAGTGAATCATCGTTTCTAACAGCTTTGGCCTCTGAGTTGATGGAGGTCCCAGACAAGGTAGTTGGTTTTTCTGCTCATGTTTTTTTGCTATAGATGGTAGATTTAACATGTGCATGGTATATTTTTCAGAAATAACAACAGCAAATTTGTTTTTCCTTTTTTTCTAATTCCTTTTCTTATAAATGCATGCAATGCATGAAGATAATCAAACACCATAGTTTCCCTACCTCACCGAGGTTGACAGCAGGTCTAGTAACCGATAGCTAAGCATGGTTTAATCTTAATTTAAACACCACTAGAAAATCATAAAAAGGCACACCTCATCAGAATGTGGAGATTTGCCTGCTTCATATTTACAGTTTATTGTATTGTTGTTTCACTTGAATTACTAAAACCTGTACATTACTGTCAAATCTTTAAGTGAAAAGCGAGCAAGTGCGGGAAGGTCTTCATCAATGGACTAAAATTCTTAATGTGTCAGTTTTAAGATGAGTATTGAATGAATTCGAAGGAGTTGACCAAACATGATTTTACCACTACCAATGTTTTAAATAGACAATTTTTATAGGAACTGATTCTTTCATGAAGTACTCACGACTCCTTTTGTCGAGATGAGTGAAATATAGGCATTAGATGGCATTAAATGAATAGCTATTAAAAAATTATTTAACAATTACCATAATTAGGTAAACATGTGCATAAATAACAATACCATGGAATTCCTATCAAATTAATCAAAAATTCTTGAGTCTGATTAATGATTGAAAAATCATTACTATCAAGTGAAACATGAACAGGATGACCAATATTTACCAATTACTGAAAATTTATTAGTTGAAGACGTTTATCATGTTTAGGAAAAAGACTTCTAATTAATTATAGAAATGAGTTCATTGTTTTTCAGGATAGTATAGAAGTGGTGAAAAATACTCATGCATTTAAGATAGGTATGTATATTTTTCGATTCGAGCGTCACTGATGAGTCTTTAATAGACGAAACCCGCGTCTGGCGTAATATAAATTATAAGCCTGGTATCTTTTATATGTATTTGTAGCAGGATTTGATTAGTATTATACCCTATATATTTCAAGTCTGAAATGTGAAAGTTTCAGTGGAATCTAATTTGCAAGAAAAGGGTAGTCTTACAGACAATGTATAAAGGACATAATAAATGTTCGAACTAGAAAGGTATAAAAAAACTGGTGCAAAGCTGAAAAAGCATCTTTATTCTTGGGCTACCAATTGTTTTTTGTGCCTTGCCCTTTACAGTAATAGATAACTGCAATTTGATCTTTTCAGGTGATTTTTTACTAGTTGAATTCGACCTGGTGAAAAGCAGCAAGAAAAGAAAATACATAGCAGAGGCAAGTATTTTTGAGGATTTGTCCACTTCTACTAAAGAGTTCATATTTTTACGATGCGGTGTTCTGCATGATAAAATGTTATCTTCTTAGAAAAGATGTTTTCCTGTACTCATGTGTTAATAGAAATTAAAACTGAATTTTCTGAATATATGCTACTCTCAGAAGTCAGTTCACTTAATAAATATGTTGATAATTCAAGAAAACAGATGCTGGTCAATGCTTAATCGTACAGTAAACATGGTTAACATGGTAAAGGCTTAACAATTGCAAGAAATATTTTCAATTTATATATAATGAGTTCTACTCGTGCTACTTGTGACTGCTATGTCAATATGCACGTGCAATTAATACTACATGTACTTTATATTTTATTCTTATTATTTTAGATTTTAGAATTGGCAAAAGGGGAAGATGATGAACCCCTCTACAAAGTAAAATGCTTGAAGAGAGTAGAGGAAAATCTCTTTAATTGGCCAGAAATACCTGACATATGTAATATAGCAGAAACTAAGATTTTGAAGCAAATGGACCCTCCAGAAAAGGTACAAAAAAGGAGGTCCATAAAAATGTTTTTCCCAAACCTCAATGAAGAAACATGTTGACTTTATCAGTTTATTTTAGTCTTTTGTACCTTTTTAGTTATATAGCTTTTTTGTCAATGTTCATGATGTGTAAGCAGGGTCGAATTTAAGCTTTTTATCAACATTTTTTTACTGGTCAGCCAGACCCACAGCTGACAAAATCTAGTCCGACAAAATTTTTTTTTGTCCTGTCCCAGTGTTAATTGTTTACCCCTGTGTTTAGGTGATGTTGTTCAAAGAAAAGTTTTATCCCAGGGTATTTTAATTTGCTGTATGAATGTAAAGTAGGTTTTATTTCATTTGCAATGATTTGGGATGTAAGATAGTTAAGTGGGAGTGTTATTTCTCATTTTTAGAGAGAGAAAGTTGAAATATGTTGCTATACAATCTCAGGGTCTTTATCATGTTTATATGCTGTATGAATATGAAGAAGATTTTTATGTAATAATATATTTTATTATCCATTTTACAGTTATAAGTTCAAGTATTTTGTACTTAAGCAGAGGGTAGGTTAGTTTTTTTGACAGTTCAATTGTGAAAATATTTTCTATAAATGATGTTGAAATTAAATAACTTTGTTTTGATCATGTTGTTTCAAACAAGATATACAATTCATTAAATCCACCAATGTCATGCAGCCCATGATTTTCTTAATCATTAAATCCACCAATGTCATGCAGCCCATGATTTTCTTAAAATTGTATATAACTCTGTTGAGTTACTTTTCTGGTAAATGGTTTTGTCTGTCCTATCATGTAACAGGTTAGAAAATTTTAGCCAACAATACAGTCCATTGAAATTATTTTAATCTTGCTTATACCATGTATACAGTCTTGTTTTATTTTAATGGTGCAATGACTGTAATGTGTTAGATGTTTTGTAAACTTTTAAAGTTATATAGTTATATTTTGTTAATGAATAAGTGATGCTGTTTATAGAAGTTGTTAATGGATAAGTGAAGATGTTTATAGAAAAGTTTAATCTCAACCTCTTTTTACTTGCTGTATGAATGTAAAGTAGGTTTTGTGTCATTTGTTATGATGTTGATATTTCACATTAGCAGGTTTCTTTTTATAACAAGTTTTGAAAATGTTACTTATACAATCTCCATGAAATCTAGGCTTTTATTTCAATGTTATTTTTTTATTGTAGTTATATGTATGACCATGATGAAGGTGCAAGTTATATAGAAAATGTTGTGTCTTCTATATACTTTTAAGATGTATACACTGTTATTTTTTACTAGACATGCTAGCTGACTGAAGTTGTTAAAGAGAAAAGTTTAATCTCAGGGTCTGTTTTATTGGTTGTGTTAATGTAAAGTAGTGATTTATGTCATTTGTTATGATTTTGGCCCCTAGTTCACTGTTCTATGAGCATTGAACAAGTTTTGAATGTGTTGCTTATACAATCTGCATGATATCCATGTTTTTAGTACGATTTTACATATTTTTGTTGTAGTTTATATGTATGACCATTATGATATGCAAGTTTTACAGAATATGTTTCTTCTTTTTATACTTTTTAGATATATAGCTATTATGTTTGACTAGATAAGTGATTTTGTGTATAGAAAAGGTTTTATGTCATTTGTTGTGGATGCAGAAAAGGGTGTGCATGGTTTCTTGCTACAATCTCAGTTTTTTAACACATCTTAATATTTTGAGGATCCTTTGATTTGCTGTATAAATCTAAAGTAGTGTTTTATGTCATTCGTTATGATTTTGGATATAGGCAATGGTAGGATACTTAAGGGAGAGCTTTGTTTCTCGTTTTGTGAAAGTTAAAATATGTTGTAATACATCTCAGGCTCTTTTAAAAAACTGTTGAAATGTGAGTAGTGTTTTCTGTTATAAGATTTGTTTTTCCTTTTAACAGTTTCAGGTCAGGATTTTTTGTTATTGAGCAAAATCTCTGATTTGATTTCAAACAATTTTCAATTCTCTCTCATTTTTAAAAACTATGAATAAGAACTTTAATTTTTTATAAGTGTTTATTATGTCAAGATTTATCAGCCCTGAATTTTTAAGACAAATTGAACAACCCATTATTAGGTTGCTGCCACTAATTTGGTAATTTGGTAATTTTTCAGTTTCTGGTATATATCTTGAATATTATTATAGATAGAGATAAACTGTTAGGGCAAAAATGTTAAGCAAAGTAAGATCTACAAATAACGTAAATGACCAAAATTGTCAATAGACCCCTTAAAGAGTTATTGCCCTTTAAAGACAATTTTCAAAATTTTATCCTCATGTTTGCTGCCCACTTAAAAAAAAATCTTCTGAAACTACCAAACCAAAATCAATCAAACTTAAGCTAAATAATTCTAAAGGGTAACTAGTATAACGTTTGTGTTTTATTTTCTGTTTCCTCAGGAAACATGGCCCCATGGCTAAGAATATAACATAGCATTTCATTATTGATGAAAGATTTAAGCAAAAAATTACAGGTGAGCGATTCAGGCTCTTGAGAGCCTCTTGTTCTTTTATAGAAATCATGAAGGAATTAATTATTTAAAAAATAACTGAAATAAGTTATATTTTTTTAATTTTTTTAAATTAATGTTATACATCTGTATACTTCTCTTAATTTTATTATAGATAGAAATAAACTGTTAGGGCAAAAATGTTGAGCAAAGTAAGGTCTACTTTTTTTTTTGTATAAAATAATGAACACGCTCATTTCAACCTCAACAATGTTCATGTAGCCCATGTTTTTATTGAAATTTTAAATAACTCCTTTGAGTAATTTTCCCCCAAAAAAATGTTTTGGTAATTAAAAAAACCTCTTTAAGGTAACTATTTTTTTAAATATCTTAATAACGTTATTTAGATATATTATAGTTTTTGATCATTACTGTTTATAAAAATAGTAAATGTGTAATCTTTGTTTTGTTGTTTTTAAACCTTAGATTTAAAAACAAATCATAATACTCTTTATGCTTATTTTTGGGATGATGTACCTTTGTTTACAATGTATAAAGACATGGAAGTTCGTCATATTTTAATTTTTAAAACAGTGGGAATTTTTTATTGGTTGACAATGTATTTCAGATCCCCAAAATTTACATGTTTGAAATAAGTATTTTAACAAAATAATGAAGCATCAACATTTCTTTCATTTATGTACATTACAAAGACTTATTAGATAGTTTGGATGTTCAATTCAGAAGAACCTTAGCTGTGATCACATGCATGTTAATCCATTATTTTTGTATTAAATTGTCTTATAAGATAATAAAAGGTTCTCTGATAAAAAATAAAATAATAAATCTATCAGAAATAAAGCATGAAATAAAAAAGTATATGTATAAACCAAAATCAATGCCACATACTTCAGATTTGTGTAATGAAAGGTATAGACGTTCACATTTTTTATTATGTATAATCATAATAAATGCTAGCTTGTTTCATTCAATCAAAATTAAAATTAAAAGAATTTATTGTGTTTGTTTTATATTTCCAAACATTTATGAGTTTGAATGTTTCGTTGGTATATTTCACCTCTCTTATTTGAATATACAACTGTATAATATGAATATACAGAGTCATAGACAACAAAAATCAAAATATTTGAAAACAAGGGAAATAATCCAAGTTATTCACATTATCAAGACGATATAAAAGCTTAATAGAGCTTATGTTTTCTGTATACTAAATTTTCTCTATAATAAAGCTTTTGAACTTGACTAGAAAGTTAGTAAATTCTAAAACATTCGGGATAGTAAGAAAAATTAATTTCAAGACATTAACTATAAAAGGTTATTTGGGGGTCTGTTTAAAGGTCTTCACAATGTCCTGCGATATAAATTTCAATAAAACACGAGTTACACGTGCTTGATGTCACAGTTAAATTTTCAAAATATATTTTTTTTAAATACCGCGGGGATAATTACTTCTGGAGTCGCTTGTCATGAAATTCAATAAAAAAGCAAAAGTAAGTCCATTTA